GTATACATCACTCATTTTGATTACATTTTTTGTGACTATTATGCATTTTTTGGGACGATAAACATTTTCAAGGTATACCGCGGTTTGGAAAAGTCAAGGTTTTAAAACCACCAAAATTTTCTAATATACTGTTCCTAAGGTATGTGTAAGATTTTTGTATTACATTTTTTTTCTTCATTTTTTAGAACAACAGTGTCTCCAGCAGAAAAGATATTTAAAGATGCCGATTTAAATTGTAATAAAATCTGTGTTTTTGAAATAAACGAAGACAGCAGAAGTCAATGATTCATTTGGACTATTTATCCTGACATGTTTACTCCTCCAAAATATTTTAAATGTTTCTCAAAATAAAATATATTGTGTTCAAAGGGGAAAACATTTTAGTATTTTACCCAGACATTTAAAAAGAATCAATTTTATAGCAGTGATTACAATACTGTAAAGACATTTTTAACCAAGGTTATCATACCGTGAAGATCTTATACGGGCCCATGCCTAGTCACGATACTGAAATTCGATCCTAATCGGTACTGAAATTTGTAAACATTCAAAAATTTCCATTTGCCGCTAACATTTGAGTGCTGTGAAGCACGTTCTTAAATAGTGCTAATTTGCATTGTGTTTATGTGCTCAACAGAAATGACTGTGAGTGGCAGTGAAGGTCATTGGTTGACCGAACTCACCACTGTTTACTGAGTGTAACCACAGAGACAGGGACACTGGAGCGTTTTAAATCATGCGATTCATCAGCAGATCCCTCATATGTCAGCTTATAGAAAAACAAGTTTCAACAACGCTTCAGTGCTCCTGTATCTGTGGTTACACTCAGTAAACAGAGGTGAGTTCTGATGACCTTCATGGCCAATAACAGTCATTGATAACAATTGAGTTACATTGAGTGCTTACAAATTGAATAATAAAAATGGCTTAGTACTTTTATAATCATGTAATCAACAAAATTATTTATTTTAGGTATTTTATTCTGTCACACTTGGGTTTTATTTTTAAAATAGTATAATCACTTTTGATCAAATGAATCTTACATGAATATAATTATATCTCATATAAATCATGTACATCTTGATACTGTTCATAAGGGGGCAGAGCTCATAAAATGTTTCAAAGTAATGCAATTGTAAAATGGATTTCACTGATGAATTTGGAATTTATAATTTCAATAATATAAGTATTAATATAACAGTAATAGTTTGTTAATAAAAAATCTGATGAAACAACATTGTAATCTCAAATGGGCCCCCAGTGGGCCACTGGCAAGTTACAAAGAGGAACTATTGAAATTCTATAAATTATTAATAGTTTACTGCTATTGGGTCAATAATATGCAATAAGGGTGGGCCATTTATATGGATACACCTTAATAAACTTATTGGGAATTTCAAAAGAAAAACAATGGTGTGCTTGGTTTTAAACATAACTTTATTCTTTCATTAGTTATTTACAAGCCCCCTCACATATGCTAATGTGCCACAAACAGGATGTTAATATCACTAACCATTGCCTTTTTATTAGTGTATATCTATATAAATGGCCCACCTTGTATATAAATCATAAAAAGTAACTGTGTTCAGATTATGATAATTTTAAAATGGAATATAATTACAGGTATTAACATCTGATTACGTAATCCAGATGACAAGTAATCGGTTAACCAGCACAGTTTATTCAAATGCACGTGAATTATTTTAGGTGTCTGCACTCCAATGCAATACTTTGAAACCAAAATTATAGAGCATTCTGCATTCATAACATTTGCATCTGGAAAAAGCTCAGAGATGACACACTTTCGACCAAAGCACACCTATTTTGAGGGTAAAGAATAGAGCTGTGATTACACTCAACTATCTCATCTGGAAAAACACTAAAAGAGGACACTGCCTATTAAAGCTGAATGTTTTCTCTGGCTGTAAAATTTTTCAGAAAGTCCCCGAAAGACATAGCATCCTCTGTTTCCGCTGCATTTCTCTATGGGAGACTCAGGTAATGAAAACACAGCAGTGGTATAACACACTGGATGCAGGGGTTGAGACACCTGTTTGGCACTGGAAGTCAACAGGGGGAGGAAAAGCAAGTAATAAGCACCTGACACAGAGAGAGGCAGCTGTCAGAAACAGTGAGGCTGTCCAGAGGCCGCTGTAATGAGGACTGTTCTGAAGGAAATGCTCCAGGTGTAATTAGGGTCCAGCTTACTCTGTAGCCCGCGGCTGTCAACTGCTTATTTTTCATCATAATACATCTGCAGGACTCAAGGCCATGGAAACAAGTGAAAAAAAATGTGTTTGAAATATGTTGTCAGATCAGTGCTGAACCAATAAAATTATCAGCAGGCATGAGGAGTCCCGTAGAGACAGCTGGAAAACTGTGCAGTAAAATCAGGGGAATATCCTTTTCTTTAGCTTCGGTAAACATCAAAAACAGCATATTTTAAAAACAAACATTGATTTTTTTTTTTATCTGTGCCGTTCCAGATCAGAGAATTTTGAATTTTTGCCTTCATTTTTTTTAAACAGCTATGGGACTAACAAAAAATATATAAATATTATATATATAATTTTGCTTTAGAAACTGCCTTAATCCTTCATGCATGGAATAGATTCAACAAGGTATACTGGAAATACTCCTCAGAGATTTTGGTCCATATTGATATGATAACTGCAGATTTTTCGGCTGCACATCCATGATATGAATCTCTCAATCAACCACATCCCAAATTTGCTCTATTGGATTGAGTTCTGGTGACTGTGGAGGCCATTTGAGTACAGTGAACTCATTGTCATGTTCAAGAAACCAGTCTGAGATGATTCGCGCTTTATGACTTGGTGCATTATCCTGCTGTAAGTAGCCATCAGAAGATGGGTAGACTGTGGTTTAAAGTGATGGACATGGTCATCAATAAAACTCAGGTTGGCTGTGGCTTTGACACGATGCTCAATTGGTACTAATGGGCCCAAAGTGTGCCAGGAAACAATATCCCCTACACCATAACACCACCAGCACCTGCCTGAACCGTTGATCCAAGACAGGATGGTTTCATGCTTTCATGTTGTTGACACCAAATCCTGACCCTACCATTTGAATTTCGCAGCAGAAATCGAGACTCATCAGACCAGGCAACATTTTCCATTGTTTTATATTTTCTGTTTTCTATTGTCCACTTTTGGTGAGCCTGTGCAAATACAACATACTGTTTCATCAGTTTCTTGTTCTAAGATGAAAGAGTTGGCACCCGGTGTGGTCTTCTTCAGCTGTAGCCCATTTGCCTCAAAGTTCGACATGTAGTGTGTTCAGAAGTGCTCTTCTGCGTACCTCGATTGTAATAAGTGGTAAAGGAGTATAATTTCTATCAGTTCGAATCAGTCTGGCCATTCTTCTTAGACTTTGGCATCAACAGGGCATTTGTGCCAACAGAACTTTTTGTTTACTTTTCCAAGAGTAGCCTACTGTGAATTCAGAGATAGCCTATATTTTTGTCAAATACTGTTTTGCCTGCTTGCTTTATATAGCCTAACTTCAGATGCAGCCATAATATTCTAAACGTTTTGAGATTCAATTACAGGGTATTGATGCTATTTATCATTTTTTAGGCTAGTTTCTAATGTAGTTCCTAATAACTTTACAATTAAGATTAATGTTTGGACAATAAGAAGCTTTTTGTGATTAGTTGTCACTGTCAGCCAAATATTATGCCAAAAAGAAACAGACAAATTAACAAAAGAAAGCAGAGTATTTGTTTGTACTTACTTATTTGTAGATAAATGACTCCTTATGAGAAAATTTTGATCAGCACGTTTTTAAGTGCATCGAAACTTGACATAACTATATTTTAGCGTCACACCGCGCTACTGCACACTGAAAGACAGCTGCTTGGGGCCATCTTGTGCTTTACTTACCCGATAGAAGTGACGAAGAACTTTCGTTTTTGTTTATTTTACGTTTTTCATAAACTTTACTGCCCTACAAAAATTAACCATATTTGTGTTACATATAAAACCCAAAAATGCCTTATACTATGTCAACCACAAGTTCACGGTTTTGTACACTAACCAGCACTATTTATCGTAAAACTGAAGTAGGGCCCAGCTATGATAATTCGCGTAATGAGGCGTGTCGTGAATGATGACGTAGACCTACAGGTAAGATTATAAAACAATTCAACTATCTGTATTATATATTGGCATGTTTATGTAAGTAACCATATGAAAATTAACGATGCTTTTTCTTACTTAAAACAAAACTATCTAAGCAATTATTAATATAGTACGTGGTTTTAATTGGAAATCATCCAAAAAACTAAATTTTGCTCTAGACTACAACTGCCACATCAAGGCGGCTTCACACATATCCAGAAAACTAATATTCATTTTTCATCAGAATCCAGTGCCAACCACCATCAATGGCATAGTGGCACAGGAATGTTATGGTGAACAAAAGCCTGCGGTGGCAGAGGAGCACAATGAGGGATGGATATGTTCCCATCAAGCTGGAAGACAAACAGAGAACCACAGGAGATCAGATGCAGATTTACTCTCCACCTATTTAGACTGCACCATGGATTCAGTTACACAAGGGCAACACAGACTTCCATTTGCACATTTTAGGAAGATTAAGAAGCATAAATATGATGGAAGTCTTCGGTAATTCTTCAAACCAACATTGAGAGAAATTTATTAAGATATATAATTGATTTAATAGTCTCCTCTTGTCTGCATCAGTCACTCAGTTCTGAAAATACTTGCAGTGCAATAGACTGATTTAGATTATGTGAATTAACATGTGAATTTTCTTTGCCCCTCATTCCTTCATATTTGTTTATGTTTTTTCTTTTGTCTTTTTTTTTAGTCTGTCTGCTCTGTTACAGAATTACCACACCCAAAAACTGTGAGCACACGCAGATGCCCTCTCCTGGTCAGGTTGTAGTTTGGTCTATTGGTCTCGATATTGTAATCAGAATAATTTTGAATATTCTAACATATTGTTGCTATTTCATTTTAATCAGGTATAATAAAATACATACAAAATAACAGTCAGAAATACATCATTTTATAACCACCACTGTATATAAAAATAAAAACCTACAATTTGCATATATGACTATGTATGTAAAATACTTATGCAACAGTAATGTTATAAGAAAGATTATTAACAAAGTATTGACAATTAATATTAACAAACAAACAATCAATACTTCATGGTAATGCCTAAAATTAAAACTAAAAATCTAAATTTTAGCCTAGTCTGTCTCTATATTACACTACACACAAACAAACAAATATTTCACTGAGAATCTTTGGCTTTTATTGGTACATCTGAGGCTTCATAAGGTGGACAGTGTGAGAAGGGTGTCGACCATTTTAAAGTGTAGTCCCTGTAAAACAAAGCAAGACGTTACTTGTCACACTGTTAGACTTTCCAATATCACAAGCTGTGAATTACATTCTTATTTTGATAATCCTGAGATGATCCATTGTGTGTGTAATTTGTCTGAGGATGAGAGGACCTGTGGATTTTCTGGCCTTTCCTCTTCTGAAACTCTTCCTCGTCCACCGTCCACACGGCCCCTGTCTTTCCATCCACCCGGACAAAGCATTTGTGGAGACTAAGATTGTGTCTCACGGCATTCTGAGAAAAGTTTGAAGTGATTGTAAATTAGAGAATATTATTTTATGTTGTAAACATCGTCTGTTACTGTAAAGTGAGAATATTTATCATGACTTCAGGATTTTATTTTGACAATAGCGGCACCATGTGGACACAAATATAATCTCCCCAATATATTGTACTAATATCAGTATCTGGATAACTTGCACAAGTTTTTTCATTCATTCATTCATTCATTCATTCATTCATTCTTAGTCCTTTTATTAATCAGGAATCGCCACAGTGGAATGAACCGCTAATTTATCCAGCATATGTTTTACACAGTGGATGCTGTTCAGGCCACAACTCAGCACTGGGAAACATCCATACACACTCATTCACACACATACACTACGGCCAATTTAGCTTATTAAATTCACCTATACCGCATGTCTTTGGATTGTGGGGGAAACCGGAGCACCTGGAGAAAACCAATGCGAACACGGGGAGAACATGCAAACTCTACACACATGCCAACTGACCCAGCTGGGGCTCGAACCAGCAACCTTCTTGCTGTAAGGCGACAGAGCTAACTCCTGAGCAATCGTGTCGCCCAGCCTAAGTTAATTTTAAATGAATATTTTTTTACATTGAATTAATACCAGCACAATATTATTACTATTACTAAAGATACTAAGCTTTTTACAACACAAATTGCTTTTTCAGAAATCAATCTGTATTAGCAGCAAATTTAGAATTTTAGTACCTTCCATGTAGGGGAACTATGACGAAAGTAGAAGAACATTCTTGTGAACCAGTTGTAGATTTCGTTTAATGTTCGTTGTTTGTCTGGGGCTTCCAAGATTGACTAAAATAGCATGGAATGAAAAATCACATTAGTAAAAAATATATATCCAGTTCAAAGCAAAATAATTAGCCCTTAAATTTCAAATAGATCTCAAATGATGTTTAATCAAGCAAGGGAATTTCACAGTTTTTCTAATAATATTTTTTTAACCTGGAGAAAGTCTTATTTCATTCAGTTTGCATTGTTATTAAATGTGTTTTTATAAATTTTAAGTTCAATATTATAAGCCCCTTTAACAATTTTTAGGCTTTTAAAGACTTTAAATTGTTAAACCTTTAAATTGCACTTGATGCTGATTACTAGTATCTTGCAAAATAAGTAGGGAAATATTATGTTCTTCCATTATAGCTAAGTGTTTAAAAAAAAAAAGTTAAACAGCACTTTTAAAATTAATATTTAATTTGAAATTAAAATTAAAAAGAAGAGCTAATAGGTTTGACCTCAACTGATTTCGATTTGTCTCATAATTCTTAAAGAATCCACATTGTCCCGTTAAACATTGATAATAAATAAATGATAACATAATAAATGAAAAAAATAAATTTAGTCTTTGAGGTTCAGTGATCAAATTTTCTACCATTTGGTTGCCATTCTTTGAGCATGTTACAGCTTTTCTCAATTGCTTTGGCACGTTTTTCAAAACAGACTTAACATTTTCTAAACTGTGAGTCCAAATCACAAAACTGTTTGTTGGATTTTCAGTACTTTATTGCATGTGTGCAAAATGTAGTTACTCCACCAAAAAATATTTTATTAATGCTTTAAAACCTAGTTATTGTTGTCAGTAATTTGGCCAAGGCCACCAAAACATAAGGTGTATTTATCATTGTGTGAGCCACACTGCTTAAAATGATTAGTTGTTTTTTTTTACTAAGACAGCCAACCATGGAAATTAAGGTTTTAAAAAATCTGATATTTGTTGAGAAGAGTGAATAGTAGAACAATTTTAAATGAATTAACATTTGTACAGTATTTATACAGTAAATTTATTTGTGTATAAATGTATTACATGCAAAGTGCAATCTTGCTTGTCCATACTTTTTGTATATTTCATATTTATTATGTTACCACAAATACAAAAAAGACTACAAAATATCATCCATTAAAAAAAAACTAATTCTTGGTGGACATCCTGTCACTTTTGTTGGCCTTGCCAGAGATAGGATTGCGAATATAGTGATTGTGCTGTGGGTAATCTGTATATGTTGGATGTATAACATGGTAACATATATGATAAATAGATAACACAAATTTTATTGCAACTAGAGGTCATTTACCAATTTAACAGGCATTACAAACAATGTCAATATCCAATATTTATGGTATAAACGTATGCATATACAAATGTTTGAAAAGTGAATGGATTGTTTTGAGTGTGATGTCTAACACAATGAAAAATGACTGAGACGTTATGAATAGTTTGACCGTTTAGATGAGAATTGACTCATCAGTTTTACTCATACACCATACTGCCAACCTTAACTTCCGGTACTGACCTCTTTATATGCTTGATTTGTAAAAATGAATGCACATTATATATTGTTTATGCACATCATATACTGTGTGTTGAACAATATGAGGTATATAATGTGGTTTATTTACATTTTTTACAGTTATTTTCTCTTTTACTGTTGTTTGTTGAACTGTCATAAAAATCTGATAAATAAATCCAGCAGCAAATCAATATTAGAGTGATGTATAAAAGATGCATAAGACAGTTAAACTTCAAAATTCAGCATAGGAAAACATTTTATATACACATCTCTTGCTTTATCTGCAATAATGTGATTACTTACCCATCTGATTAGGAACGCATACGTATAGGGCGGACGTATATTGGCACATTTGTAGTATTCAGCACTGCTAACGAAATCTGTAATTTGGAGAAAAGAAAATGACTAAGCTGAACATCACACAACAATTCTTGGAAAACTGAGCGCAAACACTCATAACTGCATAAAACCTGATGTGTTTTACTGCAAGTACAAAACACACATCCGAGTAATGCAAATGAGTCAGGCATTTTCAATAACATGCTTGTGCAATGCACCTCGAAACTGCCAAATCAAGGCTTTGTAATAGACGGTTTATGAGCAAGAGCTCCAGCTGAGTTACTTTTGGTCCAGATCTCAACCTTTTGTGGTCTGCAGTCCTGCCAAATATGGCAACAGGAAACAAGCAATATCACAAAATCAGCTGTAGCCATAGCGGTAGGCCACCAACTTTCTAGAGTCAGGCCAATGGAAGTAAATAGAAGAGCAGAAGTAAACAGATCAACGTACATTCTTATTCATCATTAAACCATTACAGATTCAATTATTCTTGTTTAATGGCGCTCCTGTGTTAAGGAGCACAGCAAGAGGTGTATTTTGGATCTTAGCAGGATTTACCTGGCAGCAGGTGTGGTGGTGGGATGTGCCAAGGCTCCTGTTGTACCGGTGCATCACAAGCTCTCTCTGTCCTGCCATCTGGCTCACCCAATGGGGGAAAATTTAGTGCCAGCGGCCTCCACCAGCCTCCAGCAACTCCCTGATGGAGAGCACACAAGTAGTATGAGAGCGCTATCGAGCACATGTCCAAAATTTTTTCTCCACATTATGCTTTAAGTGAATTATGGGAGTGACAGCAATAAACAATTAGTGAAGTGTTTGAGAAACAGGGTACATTGAGGTATCATCAGGGGTAGATTTAACTCAATCTTATTTTGGACATTTTAAAATATTGCAATCTTTACAATTTAAATGATAAGTTTTCAAAAAATTTATTTATAACTAAAAATAATAAAAATTAGGGATGCTCCAAATGATCGGCAGATAATCACACTCGATCAGTACTCGCGGATCTGGCCGATCTTATGAACTGATACCATGAACAGATCAGAAGTGTTGATTTAGGAGTTTACAAGCTGGGTTATACATCCACAGTACTACAACACATGAGCAATGTTTCCAAATTGCATTGTCAGTCATTTTTCTTACAATTTTCTTCTATCTCTTTTATCTCTCGTTTTTTTGTAAGCTGCTTCTGACCATTACATGTATGCAATGTCTTTAATTTATTCTCTTAGGTTAGGTAAGGTCAGAATCAGTACTTGGTACTAAGCCAATGATCAGAGCATCTCTAACAAATATATATATCTTTATGAATTTTACTGCTGGACTGCTCCGTCCATGATGGATATATATATATATACACACACACCATGGATGGAGCAGACCAGCAGTAAAATTCATATATATATATATATATATATATATATATATATATGTATATATTATATATAACATTACATTATTATAATAATATTATATTTGATTGTATATTAAATATTTATTTACGTTAAAATTGTATTTTCAACTCTTCAACTCTCACCCTACATAATATGGTAGAAAGTGATATTATATATATATGAAGTATATTTACAGATTGTATCTTGTTAATACAGCAGTTTTAATATTAACTCATTGAACAGATAGGATTTATTGCTGCTTGAATTACAATATTTTCTTGAAGTTATAATAAATGATACTACAGTGTATTTGTGCGGACATTCCAGATTTATTTTTTTAAATGCACTTGTCATGTTAACATTGGATGAATTCATTTAGCTCATAATTTTAAGACAGCAAACTATATTTAGTTGATTTAACTCATAATTTTAAGGCAACCTTGTAAACGTCTTAGCTAATTGTTAGAACAAGCTATATTTGGTTCATTCAACTCACAATTTGAAGGCAACCAGGTAATTTTTTTAGTTTTTTGTTACAACTATTTGTAGTTGAGTTGACAAATCTTTTGTTTATATAACTTTGAAATATATTGTATCTTTGTATTGTATTGAATTAATATATTATATTTGAATTAATATGTATATTTGTATTAAATTATATTTGTATTATATTGAAATATATTGTATATTATACTGTATATTGTAACTTCTTCAAGCAATGAAATTAATTAAGTTGACTTAAAAAAGTGTTCACTCAACAGTTTTACAGTTTTAAGTTGAGTGTACTTAAATTTGTAAGTCAACTTAAACTACTAGAAGAAGTTGATGTAATACAAAATACAAAGCTGAAACAACAAAATCACTCATTGTTATTTAAAGTTTCAATGAACTCAAAATCAGGTAACCAGGGAACTTACTTTTCCTAGTCAAACTAACAAATATTTGTTTCCAGTGTAGTTTATAGGTGGAATTATAAGGTGGAAATTGCAGGTCATTTAATTGTATCAGTTAAAATATATCAGTTTTCCCATGATGCAATAAACACGCAAAAAGTTGGATAGATTGTTTCCCATGCACTTTGTACAGAGTTACGGATGTTGTGTGAAATCGTGAAAAGGAAATATGATGTTCACTGTGAGAATGTTGATTTCTGAACGCTCTTGTGAAACCTGTTACAGGATTCATACCGTATATGTGGAGATGCATTCGAAGAGTCGGAGATGGAGCTGCATGGCATGAAGTTTCTGCTTTTCCTGGATGAGCTAAACACAAATAACATGTTAGTGGGTTATCAAACCACACTTACAAAGAAACTTAAGTCTTTTGGGTTGGCATTCAGTGACTCAAAACCAATGAAACCATGATTCACTTTCTTACACATTATCCACAATGATCAGTGATGCACAGAGCAGGACTCGTGGCTGTAAGACTTTGCGTTGCTGATTTACCTGATTCTCCATGTGGTGCACCAGGTCTTGCTGAACTCGCCATTGTGCGATAGTTTTATCGTCTGTGCTGTGGTCTCGGTTCAGATGTCTAGACAGTTTAGCAGTCATAATGAAAAAGATCAATGAGGTGTGCTGACATTACTTCAGATACTTTAAAAAATGCTAGACTTGCCTCAGAAAATGTGTGTTATCATCAAAGGCTTTTTCACAGCCTGGCCAGCGACAATGTCCATTTATGAAAAGTGCACTGGATCTCTGGATCTCTGACTGGACTGGGCTGAGGAGGACACATGGAGGACTTAAAGGATATGAAGATTGATTCAGTTTTAATTCTCTTTTCTTTTTCCAGTAATACCTGTGAAAGTGAAAGCTGGCAGATTGTTTCCTGTGTTGGCTTGATTCAGCGACAGCTTGGATGGAAATCTGCGCACTGTGACCTGTGTCTTTTCTTCTGCTCATGGCTGTTGGGTTGCTCTCATTTCCTGAAAAAAAAAAAAACTTCATATTTGTGATTACCTCACTTCTATATTTATTTATTTATTTTGATTATTAATATATTATTTGAAAAAATGTGAATCTATCAAAACTTTTAAGTAAAATGAAATAAAATATAGGTTTAGGTTTAAAAGAAAATAACTTAAAATTGAAACAACAACAACTTATTATTATTTCTATTTTTTTCTTTGGCTTAGTCCCTTTATTTATCAGGGGTCGCCACAGCGGAATGAACCATCAACTTTTCCAGCATATTTTTTTACACAGTGGATGCTTTTCCAGTTGCAACCCAGTACTCAAAAAATAATAATTATTATTATTATTATTGGCGATGCGGTGGTGCAGTAGGTAGTGCTGTAGCCTCACAGCAAGAAGGTCGCTGGTTCGAGCCTTGGCTGGGTCAGTTGGTGTTTCTGTGTGGAGTTTGCATGTTCTCCTCATGTTTGCATGGGTTTCCTCCAAGTGCTCCGGTTTCCCCCACAGTCCAAGACATGCAGTACAGGTGAATTGGGTAGGCTAAATTGTCTGTAGTGTATGAGTGAGAATTAGTGTGTATGAATGTTTCCCAGAGATGGGTTGCAGCTGGAAGGGCATCCACTGCGTAAAACATATGCTGGATAAGTTGGCAGTTCATTCCGCTGTGGCGACCCCAGATTAATAAAGGACCTAAGCCGAAAAGAAAATGAATGAATAAATTTTTAATATTGATATTATTGTTATAACCACTGCTATTAAGTGGTCAAATATGTAGAAATTTCGGCAGAATTAAATAATATGCAGACCAGGTTTTATCGGAACAACAGGTCATAGCACATTGTATATTACACCAATGCTGTGCAAATCTTTGAACAACTAAATTTGTCTATATTCATTTGTTATTCTTTATTTTTTTTAGGTAACACTCTAAAATAACAGCCTATTAGTTACTGTTAGTTCAGGTACCTACTACAAGAACTAAGCTTGAACAATCTTGAACAGCATTTTAATTATGTAAAGTTATTCTTGTTAACATTAGTTAATGCACTGTGAGCTAAAAAGAGCTTACACCAGCTTTATTTTCATTCACTAAAAGATTAATAAATACTGTAATTTATGTATTGTTTGTTCATGTTGGTATATACATTAACTTACATGAACTAATGGAACCTTTTTGTAAAACGTTACTCATTTTTTCTAATAATTGTATATACAGTGCTCAGCATATATAAGTACACCCCTCACAAATGTATCTTTTAAATTCATATTTTTAATAGGAAGCTGTACAATATTATATTTGTGCATATACATCAAATTAGTCAGTACTGAAGCCAAAGCCTATCTAACAAAATACCTTACATTAATGATCCAAAAACTAGTTCACCCAAATTTATATGTTATAGAAAATATTAAATACAATTTTTTTAAAAAGAGGGAAATTCAAGAGAAGCTAATTTAGTTGAAATTTTGTAGGTGGTAATTTTTTTTAGCAATATTTTGCTTGGATTTAATTGTATTATCTTTCAATTTCTAAATATGTTTGGGTACTAAAATATTATTTTAATAAATATATCTGTTTAATAAATCTGTTTTCACTGAGAAATTGACAATCATTTTCAATTGATATTCATTTTCAAAATGGGCTGTCCTCAATCATGCTGAGCACTGTATATACACGTTTCTTTTATTACATGCAATACTGAAACAAAAAAATTACATTCTCCAAACAATACTGTAAAAATATGACCAGCTCAGCAGTATTTTAAAAAACAGAACTCCACATTTAAACACAATTAGCACGTCTTTCAAAGAAACTTTTTACTTCATTTGAAACCTCCAACACATTAAAGAGATTACATGAAGCAGCAGCAGTATATTTTTTTAAAAACTGCGGTTTGACAGAACATATATTGAATATAATGATATCTCTGAGGATTTCACTACTTTGACTATGTGAAAAAAGTGAGGTGTGAATAATTGATTGAAACACAAACCCTGAAGCAGGAGAGCCGTAGACCGAAGTACAGACGGTCTGATCTGACCTGATCGTGAATTCTGTACCAGCAGCTGAAGAAACTGCATTCGCTGCTCATCAGCAGATCTCTGCACCTACACACACACACACATGAAGGCCGTTCACTGACAGCTGCTGAAGCTTTAAACATCAGTGGCGTTTCAGTTTACCTGGCGTAGAGGAGGTTTAAAGACTGAGGAGTTGTTGTTGGAGGAGGCAGTATTACTAAGCTGAACTGGTGAAACTGACTGAGGGACAGAAATATAAATACATAAAAGAATTCAATAATATAAATAAATACACTACTGGTCAGTTCTATGTTCTTGCAGGTTTTCTCAAGTTGCTCCGGTTTCCCCCACAGTCCAAAAACATGCACTATAGGTGAATTGGTTTCATTAAAATTGGCCATAGTGTTTGAGTGTGTCTGTGAATGTAAGAGTGTATGGGTGTTTCTCAGTATTGGGTGTGGCTGAAAGGGCTTCCGCTGCATAAACATATGCCAGAACTGTTGCCGGTTCATTCTGCTGTGGCACCGCCTGATAAATAAGGGACTAAGCTCAAGAAAAATGAATTAATTAATAAATGAGTACTGGTCTGATGTTTGGGATAACTGAGATTTGTAAATGGTTTTGAAAGAAGTTTCTTTATCTCACTGAGGGTTTGTTTGATTAAACAATGTGAATGGTATTGTGAATGGAAATATTATTTGGCAATATTTGGCCGAGATACAACTATTATCTCATGGCATGGGCCAGTCTAAGATTCTGACACTATAATAACCTGGGATAAAAATATCACGATATCACAGTATTGTGATTACTGCTCTAAAACATGTTGTTTTTAAATGTCATCTAAAAAACAACAACATTTTCCTCATTGAACACCACATATTTTATTTTAAGAAACATTTAAAATATTTTGGAAAAGTAGCTTTTGATGTGGAGGGTCTTTTTCAGCTGGAGATACTGTTGCCCTAAAAAACTAAATAAAATAGTTGTAAAAAACACATAAATAATAAAAAAAAAAAACTTACATTAACTGTTATAACAAAGTTTTGGTGGTTTTAAAACCTTGACTTTTCCAAGATGTGGGAAATGTTGAAAACGGTATCATCCCATGCCTTATTCAAAATCTGGAATACTAAAGTTCAACAAAATCTACATATCGAACAAAATCACATTGGCAGATGTCTAAATGAAGTGCTTAGCAACTCACATTAATAATCAAAGATTAAGTTATAATATATTTATAGTAGGAATTGTACAAAATGCCAGGAAGATGATCTTTATGTTCTAATCATTTTTGGCATAAAAGACAAATAAAAAGTTTTCACGCATACAGTGTGGTTTTGGCTACTGCCAAAAATATATCCCTGCAGCTTAAGCTTGAGGATTTGTGATCCAGGGTCATGTATTTTAAAAATAGCATTTATTTCTGCGAATGTTCAGTGTCATTACTCTAGTCCTTTATGTTGCACGAATGCTCTCAGTAATCGTTCTTATATGCTGATATGGTATTGAATGTTTTATGGACTCAAAAATGCTTTTGCTGATTGTTCAAACTACTTATTTTAAATGATTTGAAACAACACAATTCTTAAAGTTTTTTGGGGGGGTGAGGGACAACTTAATTGTTTCATGTTCAATCCACTTAAACTGGTAAAAACAATATGAAGGAATTGTGTGCATTTTTACAGTGTACATTTTCTCTAAACTATGAGTGATGAAGAGAAAGTTCAAAATAAGAATATTTTGCAGCATTTATCTGAAATGAGGTATTTTGTAGTAATTTTGATCGCTTTAATGTGTCCTTGTTGAATAAAAGACAAATAAGTGTTTATTTAAATGTACTCAGAATGATATTCAAGGGATAATGTGACAATAAAGACTGGAGAAATCCACTTAGTCATTACAGATATTAATTAAAATATACAATATATAAAAATTTTTAAAGAATTGCTAGTTTTATTATTTCAAATACATTCAGCCTTACAGAATACTTTCAAAAATATCAAAACCATAGACTTATCAAAATCTTGGCAAGAACAATAACACATGTAACATAGTCAGAATATATTTGTACATTTATTTAAGATTAAGGTTATGTACTATTGGTCACAGCTTTTGCATGGTGTGATGTGAGTGTGTGTGTGTGTGTGTGTGTGTGTTTTAATAGTAGCCTGTTGTGATGAGGTATGACTGCATGTACAGTTGACAGTATTTCCAATAATCTCTATCTATCTATCTATCTATCTATCTATCTATCTATCTATCTATCTATCTATCTATCTATCTATCTATCTATCTATCTATCTATCTATCTATCTATCTATCTATCTATCTATCTATCTATCTATCTATCTATCTATCTATCTATCTATCTCTCTCTCTGTCTGTCTGTCTGTCTGTCTGTCTGTCTGTCTGTCTGTCTGTCTGTCTGTCTGTCTGTCTAATTAAATGTCACTTTAAGCTGTATAGAAGTGTCTTGAAAAATATCTAGTAAAATATTATTTACTGTCATCATGGCAAAGATAAAAGAAATCAGTTATTACCAATGAGTTATTAAAACTATTATGTTTAGAAATGTGTTGAAAAAATCTGATCTCCGTTAAACAGAAATTAGGAAAAAATACCCTGGGGGCGAATAATTCAGCAGGGCTAATAATTCTGACCTCAACTATATGAAATATTAAAGGAAATATTACAATTTTAAGTTGTTTTTTTTTTTAATCTATTTTAAAATATAATTTATTCCTATGATCTTAAAGGGATAGTTCACAAAAATGATCATTGCGATCATTTACTCAGCTTTCTCTTGTTCTGAACCTGTTTTTTAGGAAGCAAACTTGGTAATACGTTAGTTAACTACATTAACATTTAAAACACTTTTAATAATGTATTTATCAGAGTTAGCTTTAATTTCACCATTAACAAACACCTCATCTAATTTTAAAACTGCATACGACCAAAGCACTGAATAGCTTTTTATTAGGGGGGGAAACTGGCATATTCCAAGTTATTACAGACTTTTTAATGTACAAACATGTATGTAAAATAATTTAATAAAATATATCTGAAGACTCTCATAATGAAGTGTGATCTACACACGTAGTACAGTTCAAATAATAAAATTAACAACAGTTTTATGAAACAAAAGACATCATCACAGATTAAAAAAGCTTTGCAAAATTCAGAAACTGCCATATAATTTTGATGTAAACAATAGTGTTGGGTAGAGGATGAAGGACATACCTCAGAAAAAGTCTCGTCCACGCACTGATCTGAAGCGTGCTGCTTTAAAAGAGGAGATGCGTCAAGCTCCTCTTTTAGGATCTTCTGTTGTTCGTCTTCTCTCCCACTCATTTTCTTATCAGTCTCTCTTTTACAATGAGGCATTTCTGAAGTCAGATATGCAGAGGTGCATATAAGAGATTTGACATACATTTAAATTTCACATAAGATGTGGGACAGCCACTGAAATGTTCAACTGGACTTCCTAAATTTATATTATGTTTATAGATTATTTAGTGTTTCTTCTGGAAATATCACTACTTCACAACATTTTGTATTTTTACTAAGAATGTTTAACAAAAAAATCTGTTATAGATTTTTACAAGGATTTTAGTTTTACTTAATTTACTTCATTTAATGCTTTCATTTTATATATAAGATACCACATGTACAAATATATTAATATTATTGTAATACTATATACTTCAAATTACTATATACTATAAATTATATATTTTAAAAGAAACTATGATTAAAAATAATTATTATCCCTGTTTATTTTTCCCCAATTTCTGTTTACCTGAGTGAAGATTTTCTCAGCACATTTCTAAACATAATAGTTTTAATAACTCATTTATAATAACTGATTTACTTTATCTTTGCCATGATGACAGTAAGCAATATTTTACTAGATATTTTCCAAGACACTTCTATACAGCTTAAAGTGACATTTAAAAGCCTAACTAGGGTAATTAGGTTAACTAGGCAGGTTAAGGTAATTAGGCAAGTTATTGTACTGTAATGATGGTTTGTTCAGTAGACTATCGAAAAAATATATAGCTTAAAGGGGCTAATCATTTTGACCTTAAAATGCTTTATAAAACATTAAAAACCGCTTTTATTCTAGCCAAAATAAAACAAATATTTATTAAAAATATTATTTAAAAAATATTATCAGACATACTGTAAAAATGTCCTTGCTTGGGAAATATTTAAAAAAGAAAAAACATTCAAATAGGTGCTAATAATTCTGACTTCAGCTATATATATATGTATATATGTATATATGTATATATATATATATATATATATATATATATATATATATATATATATATATATATATATATATATAATTTTATTATTAAGTTTATGTTATTTTATTATTATTTTAATTATAATAATGTTTTTATTGCCTAAACCTTCATGACGTTTTAATAATCCAAATAAAATAAACAAATAGAATTTAGTAAGCAATTAAAATATGTATGCATTTATTTTTAGCTTGGTTCATTCAAAACCATTAGAAATGTAATAAAATTGAAACAATTTCTAAATGTAAGCTGAAATTAATGGATGTATTTAAAATGGCAAAATGAGAAAAATGCCAAAAGCTATGGTGAATTAAGTATTTTGGGCATCTCACAGAAAACCTGGAGGAATCAGAAGGATAGTGCAGACATGATAACATGAAATTGCACTTAGTACAGCATGCATGCAAAAAAAAAAAAAGGACCAAAAGGCTCACTTAAACAAGGTTAAATGCAAGCAAGATCAATGACACTTACTGCCTTTAAAGGACAGACTTAATTTTTTAAAGCAGCCAAAAGATAAACATATTTACTGACATTCTGTCAATGTTTGTGGTTTAAAATTTCTAGACTTAAACATGACAATTGCTTGCAATCTGAACCCAAAATATGCATGACGTCTGTCTGGCATACAAAACACAAACCTCTCACCACCTCTCAGGAAACCACACACACACACTTTGCATTTTGCAAAAACATGCACGAGGGATGCAACAGGGATATAAGTAATGATGTTCAGTTTAGAGTGTCTCAACAATAAAAGCATTTGTTACTTTGCACTCCTCTGCACTAGTCAAATGAGCAAACGCAAGTGAAGTTCCTAAAAATAAAGCATTTTAGTTTTAATTTCATCCACTGAAAAAAAAGCAACAAACACTTGAAATTGTTTCACTATTACTCCAAATCATTTGCTTTTCTAGACAATGTGTGGCCTGTCACGCTATTTGTAGTTGAGTTTTGAGGTTCACGGCATCGAGCAATGGAATATTACTCACACTCCACTCTTTTCCTCTTTTCACATAACTTCAGCTTTGCCTCAGAAGAATTTAAGTGAAACTACATACCAATGAATATTTGTCATCTACTTTCCTTTCCATCTCTACCACATAAAATAGGTTTTTGTTAGTCTTTGTAAAACAGGCGTTACAAAGATTTGAGGGAAAAAAAAACAAAATGACTCACGGTGACCATAATTGCAGTCGTTCATCCGCCCACTTTAATGTTTGAATGTTTTAGTGCAATGTGTTAAACAGAAAATGTTTAAAATGATTTTAGTAAATATTGCAACACGCATATCATTATATATGTAAATATTATAGTACAAAGGGATGTCAAATTAAGTAAACAACATATTGTATGTTCAAATATTAAAGCAAAATGAACAAAACCAACTTTTTATTTTAGGAACTTTTTTAATTTAGGAACTTTTTTGTTTGATTTTGTTGGAATTGTTTAAACCAACATACATCTATAATATTTGCATGAACACACATTTGATCAAAACATAAATTTAGGATAATTTGCAAATATCATAATCTATAGCTTGCTTATGGTCTGCTTTGTCATCAATTATTAAATATTAAGTTGAGAATATCTCATAAACAAGTCAATTTTTAGCAGAGCGTTCTTTACCTTGTGCTTTAGTTGACAGCCGTTGTCTTCCTGTGCTGATCTGGTTAAAAACAAGAGTGAGGGGATCTTTTCTGGATAAAAATGGCAATCAGAATTTAAAAAAAGAAAGGTGAAAGATAAAATCTCACATCAAAGGAGTAGATGCAATGTTTGTTTCAGAGGTCATAGATCATGGCGTGCAGAACTATTATTCTTTTGAGAATGGACAAACTTCAGAAAGACCAATACGTCAGTTTTTTAGGGGTTGAGTTTTCTTGTTGAAGATGAAAGACAATTTGTGTTACGTGCAAAAAATTCTTCAGGTAACGGTAAAATGTCTTTCTGTCTTTTTAGGGTTACGGTTAGTTTTGGGTTACCAAAAGTATATTTTCATTTCATCTAAAAGGAAAAAAAAAAAACATTATTCAAAGTTGAAGTCAGAATTACTAGCCCACCTTTGAACCTTTTTTCTTTTAAAAATATTTCCTATATGATGTTTAACAGAGCAAGGAAAGTTTCACAATATGTCTGATAATATTTTTTTTCTGGAGAAAGTCTTATTTGTTTTATTTCAGCTAGAATAAAAGCAGTTTTTAAATTTTTTAAAACCATTTTAAGGTCAAAATTATAAGCCCCTTTAAGCTATATTTTTTGATAGTCTACAGAAGAAACCATCGTTATACAATGACTTGCAGAATTATCCTAACCCGTCTAGTTAACCTAATTAACCTAGTTAAGCCTTTAAATGTCACTTTAATCTGTATATAAGTGTCTTCAAATATTATTTAATTTTCCAGTGATGGGTTGCAGCTGGAAGGGCAACAACTGTGTAAAACATATATACTGGATAAGTTAGCGGTTCATTCCGCTGTAGCAACATCAGATTAATAAAGGGACTAAGCCAAAAGGAAAATGAATGAATGAAAATGTTATTTACTGTCATCATGGCAAAGATAAAATAAATCAGTTATTAGAAGTGAGTTATTACAACTATCATGTTTAAAAATGTGTTGAAAAAAAATATCTCTGTTAAACAGAAATTGGGTAAAAAATTCACAGGTGGCTAATAATTCAGGGGGTTTAATACATATTAGGTCCATAAAGTTTTTTTTAAATCTATGAAATTTTTATTAAATTAATAAGCTGAAGCTGAAACATTGAATTTCTGTTTTGTAATTTTATAATGGAAATACAGTGACTATATAAAGCAGATTACAAGAACAATTACACAGATTAATTATACTGTAAGATCCGATAACAATTTGAAAGAAAAATAATAGATCTATATGAATCTAAGGGAAAAATCAAGAGACCACAACACAAGTGTGTGTTTAAGTGGCGTTGTTGTTTTGTTTGTTTTTGTTCTGCAAACTTATTTCTTTTGTCGTCTAAATTTCGATCAATTTGTCATTTTCTGGAAAAAAGTTAATTCTCTAAATGACAAAATTATCTCTTTCAAATTTGGAATAAATATTATCAGACATTTATAGAATAAAAAAAATATTCTACTCAAACTCACATCTAATAAATCCACACAAAATCACCATTTTCAAGAGATCTCCTATTTTTTCCATATACAGTCAGGACAGAAATTAATCGTCAATACATATGAAGTTAACATCATTAATCATACAAATTGACTGCATGTGGAAAATATTAGCAAATGCGTAATAATTACATCATGCCATATTGCATCAAATAAGGGAAAAAAAATTCTCATTTGCACTATAGGAAATTGTTCATCTTTCACAGAATACAGATGTTGCATTTTAAGACTCACCTGAAGTTGGAACCTTCCCACATACAGCGTGTCATTGGCAGAATTTAGTATCCAGCACCTATTTATACCCAGAAAATACTCAGTGTCATCAAAAAGGAAACGGGCCAAAACGTTCCACGATCAACAGTGAATATTCACAAACAACTCTAGCATTTAACAAAAGCGCAATGTGCAATGTCTGTTTATCTGGTATCAACCAAAAGACTGCAATTTGAAAAGAATAATTACGAAAGGAAATAAAAATCATTTCGTATTTGACCTTTAAGAGACAATTAAGTTTCCGGACAGCATCCTTTCTGCATTATTTTGACTTATAAATAGATATCTAGTTAAGAGATATGTACTTTTTTGTTTTTATATTAATTACTGCATTTAAAAAAGCATAATTATACTATATACTTGAATATTTTTTAAATGTATAAAAATCGGTAATGACTCCAGCATCAATACTTCCAGTAAAATCCAGTACATAAAATGCCAAATGTTTTTTTATTTGTCTCAAGAGAGAATATATTTAAAGAGAAACACAGTATAGAAAGTTTTCATTGGGCATAAAGCCGTTATTTATTCTTGTCATTTATTTTGTGTCCTTACATAAACAACAATATTAATTCAATATTTTTTAACAGAAAGAAGAGCCGATTTTTATTATTTTATTTTGTGTCACTCTAATAACTATAATTAAGAGACAATTGGAAAAGAGAATTCATTATCTGTGTCAAGGACTTCTTACTGAGCCATACTTCAACTGAAAGCTGCTTTATTGTCATTTCTCTCCTACTGTATGCGGTAGAAGACAGTCATAATGCAGAATAAAGGGAAAGCAATACAGTAGAAGACCAAGACAATGTTTGTAGAAGTGTAATAATATCTGACACATTACAAAACTTTAAACGGATAAATCACCTAAGAATAAAAATGTTGTCATTGTTCGACATACCATCCTCATGTCGTTCCAAACCTGTATGACTTGCTGTCTTCTGTGGAATAAAAAAGAGAGAGATTAACACTGTAATAATGCTAGAAAAACAAATTGTTCATGCAGAAAATGAAACAAAAAACAGTTGTTACTTTGAACCACACACTTTCTTTTGAGGGAAAGAAAACAAAAGTGACCATAATTGCAGTCGTTCATCCGCCCACTTTAATGTTTGAATGTTTGAGTGCAATGTGTTAAACAGAAAATATTTAAAATGATTTTGGTAAATATTGCAACACAAAATTAAGTAAACAGCATATTGTATATTCATATATTAAAGCAAAATGAACAAAACCAACTTTTATTTTAGGAACTTTTTTAATTTAGGAACTTTTTTGTTTCATTTTGTTGGAATTGTTTAAACCAACATACATCTATAATATTTGCATGAACACACATTTGATCAAAACATAAATTTAGGATATTTTGCAAATATCATAATCTATAGCTTGCTTATGGTCTGCTTTGTCATCAATTATTAAATATTAAGTTGAGAATATATCATTAACAAGAGCAGAGCGTTCTACCTTGTGCTTTAGTTGACAGCCGGTGTCTTCCTGTCCTGTTCTGGGTAAAAACAAGAGTGAGGGGATCTTTTCTGGATAAAAATGGCAATCAGAATTTTAAAAAACGAAAAGGTTGGGCAAAAAAAAAACAAAAAAACAGTTGTTACTTAGAACCACACACTTTTTAAACAGCCTGAGACTTTCATTAATCTTCAGATCACAAAATTCGATTAAAATCGAAGAGCTTTTTTACATTTTTTTTTTTTTTTTTTTGTGCACAAAAGTGTTCTTGGAACTTTATGATTACAGTTGAACCTCAGTTCTCTTTCTGGACACTGAACCTCTCTGGACCATTGATGTCTATGGAGGATCAGAGAGATATTAAGTATCTTAGTGTGTGTTATGAAGATGAATGAAGCTCTTGGGAGAGTGCGAAATTAACAACAGAACTTTCATTTTTGGGTGAACTAACCCTTTAAATTCATTAGTTATCAGGGTGTCCGCAGGGTCCTAAAAAGTATTAAAAGTTGATAAATCAATGGAGAGAAACTTAAGGCCCTTAAAAAGTGTTAAAAAGTCTTAAATGCTATTTTGCAAGGTATTAAATTTTACATCATTTTTGATTATGCAATGTATGGTTGTAGGCTAAAGTTTGCCTGATTTAAATCTGCAAACTGGTTACTGCTGTAACCAAGGCAACACCGTTATTTCTGCGGTTCTATAGGCGCCAGCCTGCTGAATTAGCTAGATTTAATAGATTGTTATTCAGTATATGAATAATGTTTTAGTTTTTAATTAGTTTCTTACATTAATATTTAGTAAACATACTGCAAGTTAAAATCCTGACAGTGTCTTCAGTTGAAAAGTGGTTATAAGGTCTTAAAATGTATGGAAAGCATCTTTAAAAAGGTCTTAAACGTTGTTGAATTGCACTCTCTTGACTCCTGTGTATGTACTCTGGTTATGCTGTTGTTATTTTAAATTTAAATCTAAATACTACTTAAAGTGATAGTGATGAAACTTCTGTCATCATTTACTCTTATTTTATTTGTTCTAAACTAGACTGACTTTCATCTGCTGAACATAAAAGAATATTAAAGAAACCATTGACTTCAATAGTATTTGTTTTTCCTACAATGGAATTCAGCCATTACATGTTTTCAGCTTTCTTTAAAATACCTTCTTGTTTTGTGTTCAAGAGAATAAAGAATCACTTGAGGGTTAGTTCTAACTTACATTTTTATTTTTTATTGAACTATCCCTTAAGCTGCTTCTGTTTCCTCTGAAGTGGAAGAATACTTTTGTTAATATATATTTTCCATATGATTTGTAAAATGTTAAGTACAATTTTAGCAAGCAATCATCCACTTTAATTATATACTTTTAAACACAATTTCCCAACAATAAAAGTGCAGCGAGTGCAAAGGAACTTTGGGAAATCACTAGTCAGAGTATTTACAAAAACAGTTAACGTCGAAGCCCTGACTAATATATCACAGTGCTTATGAAATATCATAAATGAGACCGGTTGCACATTCTCACTGAATGAAACAAGATGAAAAAGTGCTTTCATTCTATTGGCAACCAATAAAATCTTTCCGCTGCACTGGCCAGAACTGTGAAGGGTTTGACCCTTTCGTTCTTCAGCAGGAAGGCTGCATTTCTAAAAAATGACATTTTCTTGGCACGCATCTTCTGGATATCTGCCTCTGTAGATATTTATCTTTTTTCACACAAATGCGAGTCAAAGTGTTTTCAGTAGTATGACTCAGTATTTCTTCTTCTAGGTGCTCTCTGATTCAGCTGATTCGGGTCCATTTGTAGGCGTTTTAGGCTGATTCTACACTGTAGTCTACCCACTGAAATAACATGACATAGTATTCATATGTGAGAATTTATCACACAAATCACCAACCAAAGTGCAAACGTTGTTGTTACATTGTGAAACTGGCTGGGATTTTAAAAACTGGGTCTCACAGTGTTTTGTTTTACATGTGAAACCTTGACCTTAATATTCTAACTAGCATGCGTTCAGTAATAACGAGAACAAAAGTATTATGAAAAAAGAAAACAAAGTCTCCATAGTTACAAAAGTATGTGTATGTATGTGTATATATATATATATACACACACA